ATCACCAACGTTTATAAAGAAAATAAAGAGCTAATGGGCGTAAATAACAAAATAGCACTATCACTATTTTTCGTGGACCTAGGACGCACTCCAAGGATCGAAAATATTTACAAAATTAATCGTTTGTACTATACTAGTGGTTGAAAAAGATACAATAAAAAAGAGATAGTACAATGCCGTCAAACCTATGGCCATACAAGAAGCTAGTGCCATCGCTTACCTTGATGTGTGGAATGCGGATACCACAGGTCTAAGCATTGCACCAAGTTTTGGCAAACTCCTGCCAATGCCTTTTGAAAAATCAAAAGGACTAATTTGCCAACCCAATATATATCTGTTAAAAAATTAATAGGGATATTTCTATTTGATTCTTATTAAGTCCGTTTTAATTAAAATACCTGATTGTTTTTTTTGTTATGGATTCAATTATTTCTGTTTAATGATGAAAAGACATCATATTGAACAAGAAATTTGCAATATTATTGTGAGAATGAGCCATCTAAGGCACCAGAAGTATCAATAGAGAACCTGTTTTTTTTTTTTTGTTTTTTTTTTATTATATGAAATTCATCATTTCATTGAATAATTAATAAACATAACGTTACTGCAATCTGTAACAGTGTTTTATATATGATATTTATTTATTTAAAGATTATAGGAGAGATTAATTGCACGCTATAAGAAAATGAATGGAGGAAATTAATGACATAAAAAAGAGTAACATCATCATCATCATATTCCTGATCTCAATACCACAGCGCAGTGTGGGCTATGTCTTGTAGAGCTTGGACCAAGTTTCCCTTTCTTGAGCCAACTCTCTCCTCCTACTCCAATCCATACCTCGCATCCTGAACGCCTCTTGTACACTGTCTTCCCAGGATATGCGTGGTCTTCCTCTAGGTCTCCTTCCCTCCACACGGGTCTCATATGTCTTCCTGGCTGTTCTCTCTTGATCCATTCTAAGAAGATGTCCAAACCATCTTAGCTTGTGCTCCTCTAGGATGGTTTCAGCCGGTTTGACCTCGAGGTTAGTCAGTACAGTGGCGTTCCGAACCCTATCTCCTCTGACCTTACCTTCGACCTTCCGAAGGTATTGCATCTCCATGGCTTGAATTCGACTTTTGTGTTTCGAGGTGAGGGTCCACGATTCAGAGGAGTATGAAAGGATAGGGAGAAATGTCGATTTGTAGACTGCTACTTTAGTTCGCTTTGTTATCTCTCTTCTGCCCAGAAATCCCCTCCGAAGAAGATAGAACACTCTGCCAGCTGCCCCGATTCTTTTACTCACCTCTTCATCAACACAACCACTTTCGTTGAGATGAGCACCCAGATACTGGAAATTATCTACCTGCTCCAATCTCTCACCACTTAATCTCATCACCCTCATTCTTCTCCGGGGCTTCTTCCCTATTCTCATATATTTAGTTTTTGCCGGGGTTAATCTTCATGTTTATCGTGGCTATTTCTTCCTGGAGGATGTTGATGTTGTATTGGAGATCTCGATCGTTGGCAGCTAGCAAGACCAGGTCGTCAGCAAACGCCAGCACAGAGAATCTTGTCGGTTGCAGTTTTCGGTGTCCTAACTGGAACTGCCTCATCCTTAGTTTAGCCTTTCTGAGTGCCATGTCTAAAACTATTATGAACAGTAGCGGGCTTAAGCTACAACCTTGGCGAATACCTAATGTCGTCTCAAATTCTTCTGAAATGTGGTTCATGGTCCTAACTACATTTCTGGTCTTGTTATAGAGACTCATCACAGCCAAAATCGTTCCATGATCGGTCCCTCTTTCAGACAATGCCCGCTCTATATCTCCCTTCCTCACTCTGTCGAAAGCCTTTTGGAGGTCCACGAAGCAGACAGAAAGCTCCTTATTCTTCTCGACCGTGTTTTCTGTAATTCGGCGCATTGTGAAGATAAGATCCTGCGTACTTCGCTGCCGTATTGTTCTTCCCCGAGCTGAATATTGACCAACCTTCTTACCCTTGTCTCCAGTATTCTGGAATAAACCGTACTGGGTACACTGAGAAGCAATATTCCTTGATGATTCCCACACTCTCAATTATCTCCTTTCTTATAAATGGGCACGATCACTGACACTTCCCAGTCTTTCGGAATTTTCTTTTCCTTCCAAATCAGGTTCAGAAGATGGAGGAATATCTCTTGGCCCTTGCTACCCATGAACTTATGAAATTATCATTTTGGGACTGATTTCATCAAGACCTGCTGCCTTGTATAGCTTGATCTTGTCGATGGCTTCTTGCAGTTCTTTCTTACTGATGTAGTAGTCATCTTCGACCCAAACATTCTCCACCTCGCTCCGAGTCTCACCCATCTCTACATCTCTACCCTCATGCTGTTCTTTAAAATAGTCCCTCCATCTTTCCATAATCAGTTCCTCCTGCCAGGCGATCTCCCCATTGTTATCTTTGATTCCTTTAAGTGAAGTCGGTCGGTCCCTCCTCATTCCTTTGAGGACTTTATAAAAGATTTTCTGATTTTTCCTGGCATTTTCCTCAAGTTGTTGACCAAAATCCTCCCAAGATTTCCTTTTTGCTTCAAGCACTTTTAAGTTGGCAAAAAGAGTAACAGCAAGGTAAAATTACCAATGAAGATATGTAAAATATAAGAAGAAAGAGAAATCTTAATGATGAAGAATATTCATTCTTCATGTGACATATAATTACAGTTATTTTCTGTCTAGACATTTAGATCATTCTACAAAATGTTAAACAAAAATATAAGATGATTTTCTCCATATAAACCTTGCTGGTCAGGTTAAAGTTGAATGAATATGAAGAACCAATCTGGAGACCACCTTGCTTGCAAACTATTGGTTATGGAATATCTCTACAGTACCTTTACTCACCATCTGGAGAAATAACGTTTTGCATTTTAATTGTGATGCCTTTCCTCTTACTAATAGGTATCTTATCGTCCTAAAGAATAACAGTGTATAATTGTAGTAGTTCTTGAGGCCGTGATGGCTTAGAGTGTTAAGGGCTCACCTTAGCAACCTCAAGTCTAGTGGTGCCAGTTTAGATCCAGTTTGGATGAGTTGAAATTTATTTCATTATGGACCCATGGAATAAATCTTGACCTTTCCACTCACTCTCACCTCCTCTATGTCAAAAATCATTAATCACAAAAATTTATTTTAATGTCAGTTCATGATTTTTTCTTTTTTCAAACCCTTAACATAAGCTATTTGTTTTTCATCTTTAGATATGAATCCTATCCAAAAAGGTAATAAATTATTGAAGGAAGCTTACCGACTGTTCTACATATCATGGGTGATAAATATTCAGGGCACAGTCATTATAAAGTTTTTATTGGTGCCGACATTTCAACCCAAACATGTGGGTCATCATCAGGGCTGAAAAATTGTTTAATACATTAAGAGATATTATATTATATGACAGATAATGGTTAATAATAACAAAAATGTGATTGATGATACATGAAATAGGCAAATGAAATATGTAAAAAGTTATATAAACTAAAAATAATGTATATGCCTCCTCCCCACGCTGCCTTCCTAAAAATTCCTTTGACCCTACAAATTTTTATTTCACAAATATCGCACCAAGAGACCTGCTTTCCTCTCTCCTTAAATCCAGAACGAATGACTATGGTCCAGATCTAATCCCAGTGAAATCAGTCAAACTATGCTTCCCTTTCATCTTTCCTATCCTACTGCATATCTACAATTTTTCCTTTCAAAATTCCTGTTTCCCATCAGCTTGGAAAAAAGTTATAGTTCGCCCATTGAGCAAAGTTCCGATTCCCTCCAAAGTTTCCGATTTCAAACCCATCTCCATTCTCTCCAACCTTTCAAAACCTCTTGAAAGACTAGACCATTCACAGCTTAATACCTTCCTTGAGCAAAAAGCTCTCCTCAATCCCTAGTCTGGTTTCCGATCCCAGTTCTCCACCCAATCTGCTTTGTTGAAAATCACCCAAGACCTTCATCTTTCCATAGACAAATGAAAAATCTCTATCCTTGATCCTCTTTGACTTTTCAAAAGCATTTGACAAGTAGTGTTAATCATGAAATCCTTCTTTCTTCTGGCTTCATGAGTCCAGGTATACAATAGTAAGCCAATTAATGTTTACAATACAGACCATTGTAATGAACTGAAATGATTAGTAGTACAATATATTATTATACAATATTTTGATAATAACACTATTGATTCTAAAAAAAAAACTATAATTAATTATTAAGGTTTACATAGTACTAATAGTATAAGTATAAACATATCTGTGCCTGTTTATAGTAATTTGTATATATTTTTACTGTGAATAGTTACATCAATATGTTGACAAGGAAATGAAAAACAAAATTTTAATGATTATAGACAATTATTTTAGGAGCCGGAAAATATTCAAATATGTGTTGCAGATCTTTTATTGTCTACTTTGTGGTTTACCGGGTTATTTTTTTCCAAATTGATAAATATAGCTTCACAAAGTAGTCATTTTTGGTGGTTGGGGACTGTGGTTAGTATGGTTGGGTTGTGTTGTTTATGAATGTTTATCACACAAAAATGAGAAGAGAGTCATTTCTTCCATTTATATTTAATTTAATATTATTGTCCATCCTACCTGGAAAATAATAATTTTAAAAAATGAATGAAACTGTAAAGTATCGCAATTGAAAAAAAAATTACCACAACTTTAGTACTTAAATTACATAATATAAACATAATTAATAATCTCTACAGTATGGCATTAAGTCCTGAGGCACTTTATCTTACCATATTCTCATTATTTTTTTCGGTTTGGATCTAACTAACACTCTAGGGTCCAAGTATCCCAAGTTATGGCCCTGTATTTAAAAAAAAATATTTTTAATAAATGTTCAACTTTTTTAGGAACAATAAGATAAAAAAGATTTTTATGCATACCCATTTATTTAATTTTATCATTATCAATTCATTTTTTTATTTCATTAGATTATTTATAGTTATTGACATTCATTCTATTATATAACTTCTAGTATCCTCCAAGAGACTTGGTACTGTTTGAAGATTATTTATACTGGGTAAATGATCAAAAACAATCTCACATTATTCGTCCAGAAGCAGAAGGAACTATTACTAAATATGGGCTGTATGGATCTGTGTATATGAAGCATGAATCAGTAAGGCTTTTACCTTCTTCATCCTACAATGAAATTAAAGCTTTCCGGGTTTCACAGTCTGCACTCCAGCCTGAAGGTACAATGGACTATTATTAGAGTGTAGAAGTTTCATCTTTTTTAGTTACATTTATTCAAATTATGTATTTATGCGAGTATATATATGTATATATATATATATATATATATATATATATATATATATATATATCATACAGAAACTTCTATAAATATATATATGTGTGTGTAACCTTCCAAGGACATGCAAAAGATTTCTCTAAAAAAATGATATTTGGTATAGTTTTTTTTTTTATTAATGGGCATGCTGAAATACAGAAAGATTGTTTTAAAATAATTTTACTCGCCATTTGATCATAATCAGTCCTATTCATATGATCATTAAAAGGAAATTTTAAGTTTTGAAATTTTGTGGTATAATTTTTTTTTTAACATAATCTATACTTTATTTTAGCACTTATAATTACTGAATAAGATTTATAATACAGTATGGTGATTTCATAATGATTTTCTAAGGAATCTAACAAAACAAGGGGTGCACAAACAAAATATCACACTTAAAGCACTGATTGTGCCCGATATCTTTTTCCAGGCAACTTATATATAATACATAATATAGCACATCAATAGTGATTTCCTTCAATAACAAAGTGATCTAGCCTGTCACAGCTTTTTCAGCCAGTACTGAATCATGTTTTGTATTTTATCTACCCAGGTATAAAAATAATAGCAGGTATGAAGTATAATTTGGCATGTAAAATTATTATTTTTGTAAATCATGGATTCCAAATTGTAAAATCCCGAGGACAAACAGTTAAAGAACACTTGAAATACTGTTACTTGAAAAAGTATAAAATGTTTTACTACTAACTGAAAGAGTAGCCATACAAGAGAATGGAGTGAAAAGCTCTGAAAAGGTTAGGTAATCAAAAGTGCCCTGAGAGGTAAATGGCTGCCAACTTACACATATTTAATCCTTTATGAGAAATATTACCTATCTAATCTTATCACCAAAATATCAGATCTCTAGTGCCCCGTGATGCACAAGTATCTTGAAACACAATAATTGTTTACTTGACTACTCAATGGTTGACCATAGTATAACATAGAGGAAAGTACAGTGTGGCGGTTATAAAAAACTTGAAATAGTAAAAAACTATTTTATTTTATGCCGACATTTCGATCCAACTATGCTGCTCTTCATAAGAGATATGGTCAGGATAGAGTTCAGTGCGAAAGTTAGTTCAGTTTCGTATTATAGAGGTACAACCTATCTTATTTTATCCACATTGTGATGGTCCAAATTCATTCCATGGTTTTGTCACGAAATAAATTTCGACCCACCTAGATCGGATTCGAACTGGTGTTGCTAGACTCAAGAATGCTTAAACAGGCAACGCTTCAACACTCAGCTATCACAACCTCTGGACACTCTAATCTCATTTGAATGTCTGGATTGGTTTAGTGATGCCCCAAGCAAGCTATAAATGTAAGTATCTACAAGAACTACATAAAGCCTGCTCACCCAACAATTCAATCACAAAATGTTGGCATTCTGCAAAACTTCTGTTGAAGGTCACTTGATTTCTAAAAAAATACTTTAAAAAATTAGTATGGGTGCTGTAAAAGGTACATGGAATATTATTGGATGTACACTGACAGGCAAAGAATTCCACCCACTTGATTTTTTCATGTTTTCATCTAAAAATATTTCTGCTTTGGATTGGTCTATTGTTTTTAATGAATAAATAGGTAATCTTTTTGTTTGTTTTCAATTAGGAATGTTAATATAGAGGACAATTACCCTTAATCCTTAATTCAATGAAATGATTCTAGATTCCAATGTTTACTTTCTATGGAATCAAAATGTTTATTCAGTATCATTAGTTCAGTGCTGTTTCTTGCAGCACATTTCTTAGTCTCCGGCTTTTAATTTTTTCAATATTAAGTTTAAAAATGCCACTTAGTGCTGAGGATGTCGCGCGTGGTGTGGCACTTATTGATTATGGACATTCCATTAGATATGCAGCTAATGCCATCGGAGTTCCATATGAAACTTTACGAGACGCCGTCAGGCGTTTTCGGGAATCTGGTTCTTACAATAGACCCGGTTCTGGAAGGCCTAGGGTAACAGAACCACGGGATGACCGGTTTTTGACTTTGAGAATTTTACAAAACCGGCACCTTACCATTGTTCAAGTGATTAATCAGCTCGAAGAAGTTCGAGGTGTGCAAATTTCTTAACGTACCGCTTGGAGAAGATTAAATGAGTATGGATTAATGGCTTTTCGTCCAGTAAGAGGACCAGAGTTGACCAGAACTCACAGAGTAACACAGCTGGCTTTTGCTCGAGAACACAGCCATTGGACTATGGACGAATGGAGTGCTGTACTTTTTACAGATGAATCAAGATTCACTCTTCGATCTCCAGACGGGCGTGAAAGGGTGTGGAGAAGAAGAAACGAAAGATATGCAGCCTGTAATTTTTCCCAGAGCCAACCTTTCCAACGTGGTTCCTTAATGGTGTGGGCTGGGATTTCAATGGAGCCCCACACATAATTGGTTGTTGTTCGTGGAGGGTCTTTGACGGCTATTCGCTATGTAGATGAGATTTTGGAACCTCATGTGTAGCCTATCCTCAACGAAATAGGCGATCATTCTATTCTAATGCACGCCCACATGTCGCCCGCATATTGCAGACGTTCCTTCAACAGAACAATATTGAGGTTTTAGCCTGGCCAGCACGTTCTCCAAATTTGAACCCCATTGAGCATTTATGGGATAACCTCGGAAGACGAATAAGAGCCTGTGCAACACTTCCTGATACACCGCAGGACCTTGAAAGGGCTCTTCGGGAGGAATGAGCTATCCTCCAGCAAAGGGACATTTCCCGACTGGTGGAAAGTATGCCGAGGCGTCTTAAGAAGTAGTGAAGGCAATAGGAGGAAACACGCGCTACTAAACAATGATGTAATTCATTTCTTTTAGAATAATAATGGTTTGTTTTTCAATTTTCTTTTCTCTAATCTTTTTTACCTAATCACATTTTGATTATTAAAGGTAAAAAAGATTATAAAATTCCATAAATACTAAGTATTATCTACAAATACCATGTATTATGTATAACTTTCCCTCACTCTATCTAAACAACCACCCCATCACCTTCTATCCCTTTGTTAAAAATTTAGGCTTTCTCATAGATCAAACCCTTTTCTGGAATTACCATATCTCTCATATATCCCGCTGTGCAATTTCTACCCTCAAACTATTCCATTACTTCCGCCATCTTCTACCCCAAAACACCCGTAGACTCCTAGTTTCCTCTCTCATCTTTCCCCACTTTGACTACAGTTGTGTGGTGTATGATGGCCTCTCGGTGGAACTCCGTGATAGACTCAAAAGACTTATGAATAGCTTTGTAAGATTTGTAATTGGGACCCCGAGACGTTCCCGTGTCTCCCACCACTACACTGAGTTAGGGTGGCTCTTCCCCTCCTTAAGAAGACAATATTTCCTAGGCACTTTCCTTTATCAAATCATTACCGATCATCGTCCTTCTTATGCCTACAACCTTCTCCAATTTAAGTCCTCAATCCATTCCCTCACTACAAGATCTCGACCCTCTGACCTATACATCCCTTCTCATAGATATGCCTCATTCCAAAATTCCTTTATAGCCCGCTCTGTCAACTTTTGGAATTCCCTCCCGATCAAAATTCGACATGCCCCTTCCCTATACACATTCAAAAACCTCCTATTCCAATTCCTGTCCCAAAAACAGTCAGATACCAGCTAACTATTAATACTATATATGTATTGTGTTGCAATCATATAATCTTAATACTTGGTAAGAGATGGTACATGAATTTCCTACTATCGACGTAGGAATTTTAATACATACATTTTTTTTTTTATTCAATTATTATTAACTTTTTATTTTTATATATATATTCAAGTAAATTTTTTTTTTATGAATTGAACTCATTCTATCTCTTTTTCATTCTTCATTTCTCAAAGTGTATGTTTATGTTGTTCAACCCTTATATATAGTTTTGTTCATAGTTCAAGTGATTCGTTCATAGTTTTAATTGTTTTGTTCATAATTTTAAATGCTCTGTACATAGTTTTATCTGTATTGTATATAGCTTGTGCACCTAAGGTTTTCTTTAATTTTTATTTTATTTTATCAATTTTATTTATTGTTTCAAACGTTTAGGCCAGTAATATTCTATTATTTTGTACATTATTGTTATTCTAAAGGGACTTAGTCCCAGAATAAAGTTTTTTTTTTTCTATCTATCTATCTATTATATACAAATACAACTTTTTTTACAAGTGGGTGGAATTTTTTGCCTGTCAGTGTAGATCACATCCTGGTCAGCAGGAGGCACAGGTCCAATGGTATAAGTTGCAGATCCTACCGAGGTGCCAACAGGGATACCGACCACTATCTGGTGATATCTAGGATCAGAGCCAGAATATCCAACTCAAGAAAAACCAGGGGAAAGAAGGTAGAAAGAATAGCGACATCCAAGCTTAATGATCCAGAAGTCAGTGAACACTACTGCCGAACGTTGGATGAAAGGGTGACAGGTGCAGGCTTGTCGGAGGGCTCTGCAGAAGAACAGTGGAAAACCTTATCCTGAATCGTTAAAGAAACAGCAAAGGAAATTGTAGGGATAGAGGAACGAGCAATTAGGTCCCCATGGTTTGATGCAGAGTGTGCAGTTTGCTACGAATGTAAAAAATAAAGCCTACAAAAACACGGTTCAGAAGCGGCACACGAGAAGGGAACACAGGAGTATAGAGACAGAAGGACGGAGGAGAAGAGACTGCACAGATGAAAGAAGAGAGAATGGGACTGGAGACAGCTAGAGGAGATGGAGGAGCAAAGGAGACAAAATAAATCAAGGGCATTCTACAAGTCGGTTAATGAGAGTAGGACATCATTCAAACCATGGGTCCGATTATGTCAAAACGAAAATGATCACAGAGAAGGAGCAGATTTTGGCCCAATGGTCTCATCACTTTGATGCACTTCTAAACAAGGCTGCAGATGGT